AAGTTTTTTTTTTTCAGATATTAACGCTGATGATGGAATTTAAGGAAATTCCGAAAGGTCCGTATTAAAGATATTTTTGGTATTACCGTGTTTTTAATATTTATTATGAAACTGTGATAGTTATGCATTAAGGACGTTTTGTCTATAGCGACCTCTGTCAGCAAAATAAAATCTTTTTCTTAAAGAATATAGTAGGATTTTTCAAAGCAATATCACATCTCGTGTACATATTTCAAAGTATAATATCCAAAGCACTATTTATTTATTTTACAAGATGCACAGTTATACTAAGAAAACGTGAAATTATCACCCCCCCCCCCGGCAGGTACGGCGTGGCCTAGTGATCAGGTTCTGAATTAAATGAATATTTTCAAATGGCTCAATGATTTTTTTAAACCTTGCTACCATATTCAAGTTCAACAAAACCGAAGCGGGAAATTATTTCTAGAGAAACTAAATTAAATGTACGTAGTTTACCAGTAATTTTTTCACTCAGAAAAGATGGTTAAATTTAGTAACAACTAGGATATTCTTCGTATGGATAAGCCAGGCATGGTCTAAAGGGCTGCGAATCGTAAGGTTCAAGTTTCAAGCCATGATGTCGCTAAAGTCGATCCGCACTTTCAACTGTGGACACATTATAAAAGTAAGTTGACTCGTGCAGCCACTCCGGCTTATTGTACTCAAACATTGAACATTTGTTCAGTTATAACATAGTCCATAAGAATTTATCTTTGAATAAAGAGAAACGGTATCAGATAACATGTTTTATACTTTCTCGTATTACTTATCAATCTAAGTTTGAACAGTATGTGATTCAAAGTTCAGTAGACATTATGTAATATGGTTAAGTTGTACGACCCGAGTTTAACAATAGGTTTAAATATATATATATATATGTATGTGTACATGAATTTTTCATACCCTTTCGTTCTTATTTTAATCCTTTTATTCTCTCTGATGAGTTTCTTATTTTTATACCACTGGACTTTGGGCGGGGGGTTTCCTCCGACTGTACATCGCAACCTGATTCTGGCCTTCCGCCGAGTTTTGATCTTGGCATGATGCATTTTCGTTGATGGTGGCTTGGCTATAGAAAAAAAAAGAGAGAAAATTTATCTTTACTGTTTCGTTTTTAAGCATAGAACATAAAATTTATTACTTTTATAATAATATACTTATCCGAAGTCACCAGTGGCTACAGACACTTGTTTATCAGTTGCCTCCAACTATACTTGTTAAGTTTGTTCATTTGGAAAACAAGTGAATAAGGTATGTGATGTAAAAAGGCGATGGCGATTCCTATGAGCCTCTGAAGGAGAAATGTTTCACGAGTGCTATGAATTGACTGAAACTTGAAATCCAAAGGTCATTCTTTCATTTTTCATTGCCCTTCATTTGAAGGTTCATATAACAAAGTTATATAGAAGTAATTCTAGGCTTCTGAAATCAGTGAAATATACCATTCGTTATCATAATCATGTAGAAATATAAATGTATATAGAAAATTTTCAGATAATTTCAACCTTTAGAACATTTGTACACTGTCGCAGTAGTCTGACCAGTGCTTATTACTGTAGCACACCTTCCTATAACGTGCATCTAGCTAGATGTCAGCACAAATGAAAATCTATGGAGTGGTTATGTTTTTCATATGTTGGGGAGATGGTTGAATAAATTAAGTTAATATGATGTTTTACGATAACTATGTGATGGAACTCTGAATGATGATAGCAATAAGTTGTAAAAAAAAAGATGATCCGTCCATCATTAATTGAGTTTGTTTGTTTTTTGGCTAAGATTGCTTGTTTATTTGTTTGTTGAAGTTCGCGCAAAGTTACTCGAGAGTATAAGTCGCCCCTAATTTAGAAGGGATAGACTAGAGGAAAGAGCTAATTAATACCACCCACCGCCAGCCCTTGAGCTACTCTAATTGAATAATGGGATTGGTCAAAACATTATAACGCCCCCATGACTGAAAGGGAGAGAATGTTCGGTTATCGGTCTCGAACCAGCGAACTGCAGATTGCGTGTCGAGCACCCTAACTTCCAGGCCATGGCCTAAGATTGCAAGATGTCTGAAATCACACAACAAGAATGACCAGCGAAGCTAGCGTGTTACCGCAGACTCCATTCATGGTGCCGTGGATGACATGTGTAGCACCTTTATATCTGGTCCACGAAAAGCTCTCAACCATTCACTATTGTAGACGGGATATCATCTAGGGCACTACCAACGGCCTGGAGAGTGAAAATCCTCAAATATCATAAATATAGAATGAGACCAACAATGAGACCCTACGAAAATCACGCCCAGAAGAAAATACGAGTCAGAAAAATTCACGAATCTTGAAAAGGTCCCCCTACTGTATGAAGAACTACAGCCGGGATCAGACAAAGTTCACTCTCAACTCTCTCCTCCTCGTCTCTCTTGCTAGCCCTGTTCCATACTTGTTCACGTTGCCCCCCTTAACATTATACCAACTGTCTAAAACTCTATCCTTTCCACAAAGATCCTTGCTTATCATACTCCTACCTCTCCAGTAATCTCAAACCCTAAC